GGACAGGAAGGCCTGGCGCAATATGGTTCATGGGGTCATGAAGAGTCAGACACAACTTAACAACTGAACAACAACAAAGGTCCTTAGAGCCAAGGCCACAACTCTCATTTTGTACGAAGACCTTTGACCACGGATGATCCTGCATACATGAGCAACGAAAGAAGTATTACAACATGACTGGGGAACTGGAAAGGAATGCCGTTTTTGTACCTGGAAGAAGTTACAGGTACCAACAAAGAATAAGGAATGTTCAAAGAGATGTTTCAAAGGCTGGGGAGTCCCACCTTGGGGCACTCCTACCATCACAGAGGTTCTCCTAGGCTTTTTGGGGTCAATTGCCAGATTTATGCTCCATGGGGCACCGGAAACATGGGAATGCTTTGTCCTGGAGCACAAAAAGGCTGCAGAGAGCTAGAAGGTAGGGTGTGGGTGTGCAAATGTACATCAGAAATGCTGTTCATCGATGAAAACTATGCCCCTAGCACTGATGCCCTGAACCCTTCTTATGCAGATCTATGCAAGCAGGCCCTTCCGTGGAGTTAAAAAAAGAGGAAAAAATTGGAAGGCACCGTTGGAGTAACAGGGCAGAGATACAAGAGAACCAACAAGAGGCATTTGCTCCTCATTAGATTTAGAGCAGGCAAAATGGCAGGCCCATCGGAGGTCCGCCCAAGGGCTCAGGTCCGTCTGGGAAAGTGAATCGGCTTTCGGAAGTTTTTCAGAGGAGGGGACGTCTTCCATGAAATGCTTCAGGGTGGACTCTGAATGTGAGGAGGAGCCCCAGGGTTGTCGGCTGAGGGTCTCTAATAAATTGCCCCTTTCTGTCCCCCATAGTTCCAATACAGCTCAAAGAAAAACATCCATTTTTTTGGGGGGGGGGGCCTGGTAGCAGCCTTCCTGTCAGGGTGAAAGAGGATTCCTGCCCTCGAGAAGACGGTTGGACATTGTTTCTCCCCCTTCCTGTAGGCATTAAAGGCATCCCCCCCCCCCCTCTTCTCTCCCCCCAACATTTCGCCAAAATTTGAAAAAAATTTTTTATAACAA